CTGTTTATTGATTAATAAAGCGTGGTTTACTCAGTTAAAAGCTTATTTTAAATTAGTAATAATACAGATATATAACTCTTGTTTAAACAATTTAACAGTACATCAGACGACTCGACTCCGCTCGCCGACAGCTCACGCACAATAAAACTAATTTAAAGAATTTGCGACAGCGGAACAACCCGCAATTTTCATGTCTACCGCCCAACACTCTGAACCATACATCATAGCTGATCTCACTACAGTCTTATATAATTTACCTTTTAGCCTCATTGGAATTATCTTATCGCATAACACATCAGACGCTTCTCTCTACTTCACCTACCCACACTTAATCATGTGTTTTACAATCTCGTCAATGCCACGGTTCTTTTGCTCAACTGGCCCTAAATACTTAAAACTTTTAACCTCTCCTATCATGTCCTTGCTTAACATCATTAATCTCCTCATTTCATCTACCTCGTTTTCTTCTTTGTCAAACTTGTATTCTATATACTCTGTCTTTCTCCTACTTATTCTTAATACCTTTTCTTTTTCCCTTTTTAATTTTCAACAAGCGGTTCCAACAACCTATTTTTCTCCTACGTTTTTTTTTATTCCTACTCTCACTAATAATCTCCTTTGCTATAGTCCTCCTTACACAAATTGCAAATCTATTCCATACATAATTTATGTCTTTCTCTACATTTCACACCGTTCTCTCTGTTACCGTCTTTAAAAACTCTTTCTTCTTTCTCCTTTAAATTTCCACTACCGGATACTCGATTCTTCTCCTGTATTCTTTTTGATTTTATATACTCTCTTCCCATTACAACACAACTCTATTACCATCAATTGTGTATTTACACTGTCACCTCGGATAACTTAGCAATCTTTCACTCGCTGAACAATCTATATCTTCCACAAAAAATAATCAATTTGTAATCTATTACTCCCATTCATATACATGAGTCTAATGTAGATTTTAGTGATGATGTCTCTACACGGTTGACACTAAAATGGTTGGATAGGTCTGTACACATGACTTCTTTGTCTCTAACATCTTTATTTCTTTTCACCTGTTGTTCCCGCGTATATCCGAGATGAAACAATACGCATAAGTTCTGTCTAAGACTCTTTATACTTTTTCACAAAATTTTAAACCAGCTGTTGACTTGACGCAATTTCATTAGTTACCTCTTATGACAGACAGAGGAGCCATGATAGTATTCTTAGCCCCTCTCCACCGGCAATAAATATTTATGGATATTTATTATATATTTTGAACTATTTTTTGTTTTTTAAGTAGATTTTTTATTTTGTTGAAAAAATAATTGTATCTATGTTTTGGGGATAATAGGAGTTCTGTCATGTATTTCTTGCAATGCGTTTTTAGCGATCAATTAAATTAGTTCAGCAAATAACTGGTGTTATTATGTTTTGATTGTACTTGAAAAGTTATTTATCGGCAGCATCATGTATATTATTAGATAATAAGTTGATAGCACAGTCCATATCATCTGTCGTATAAAATTTAATATTTAAATTAGTGTTTTTGTTCATTAGTTTATGAAGGATATTCCAGTTTCAGCGGATTAATGTCGTGCATGGTTAGCATCTGATGATTAGATTTTAAGAATGATTGAAATATAATATGAAGCTGGTTCGTTCACACTTTTTACATTACATTGGAGGTGAGCAGATATTTTAACAAAGAAAAAGTCAATTATATCAAGGAAGCGGTTAGTGTGAGATGGCCAATATGTTGGGGAGCTTATAGAAATAATACTTGCATGTTGACTGACAATGATATTTAAAAAACTTTGCCTTCTAATATTGGTAATATGACTACCCCAAGAATAATTTTTATCATTATATTCAAATCCAATTATAAAATTGTGGTTAAGAGTTAATATATATGATAATCATTTTTCTAAAAGAAATTGTCGACTTGGTGGAAAGTAAGATGAGACTATAGTTAATGGTATGGAACTTTTATTAATGTTGTACGCTATGACTTGAAGTTTTGTAAATATTTTTGGTAGTACAGGCTAGCATTGTAATATATTTAAAATAATTAAGGCAGCCCCGACATGGGCTGTGTTGTCAGAATGGTTAGCTTGTAGAATTTTGTACTTATGTATTTTAAATTGAGATAAGACTCCGAGATAAGAGTAATTTATTAAGGGTATTTCTTAGGACATTGGCATTCCATAACATTATATTATAATTTTCCGAGTTTGTGTTTATTGCCTTTTTTTCGTAAAAGCTTTTCAATGACTGTGGTAAAAAGTGAAATTAAAATTTTAATTGCTACTTTAAAATCAATTATAAATGATAAATAGTCTATGGCCAGAATATAGGTCGCTTGTAGCATTGTAATTTGACTTATAAGTAACTAATACAAGTGAAAGAAAGTTTTTGCTATTAGCTAAAAGCGGATCTTGATAGATGATTTGGTTATCGCTAGATGTGACTTTATTATTAGCTGATTTTGTTTTTTGAAATGTTAGTAGATCTCTATGGACACTATTTTCTCGATAATTTAGCAGGTGTATTACATTTTTACATTGAGAAGATTACGCCACAACAAACACATTTAATGGGGTGGTTGCAATATAAACAGATGTGACCGTAAAACTGACAGCGGAAACACTATTTTCTTATCTAGTATTTCTTTTATAGCATGAGGAACTTCGATTTTTACTCATAGAGAAGATAATCTAAAAAATATGGATTCTTTTTATTTATTTCTAGATCAATAAAGAATATAAGTAATAGATTTTTGTTCTAGATATTCATTATATTTCTAATGTAAAATCCAAGGTGTCATAATGTCTTTTTACTTAAATCAATGTCCGTAGTATGGTGTAAATGTCTAATTACTACTCTATATGGTTTATCTACTTTATCTTGGTTGGAGTGAAATTTTATGTTGTTTTCTTAAAGATAATTAGTTATAATTTTATAAGAATCAGAAATATAGGTTTCAAGTTTCAAAACTATTATAGATCTCTTGTGTTCAAATCTATCCTAGTTTATTAGTTCTTTAAATTTAGCACAAAAATTACTGTAAGGTAATTGAATGAAAATATAAAAGTATAAATATAAAATGAGGATTTTATACTTTATTTTTAACAGTATATTAATTATTAATAGGTACATCAACAGAGGTTATAGGTTCAACTACCATGGAAGCGTTTTATAGAAATAAAAATTTTTTTTTGATAAAGCTAATTTTTTATAACGGTGAAATATTTGACTTTTTTTTTTAATGCTTTATAAGCATATTAAGAGCTATAAAGTTCTCCTCCAAAAGAGGTTTTTTAACCAATGATACTCCGAGACAGGTGGTTATGAGTTTGATTGATGTTGGATTTTTTAATATTGATAGTGAAACAACTTTTATATTATTGGGTTCAGAACCCGAGGAACGAGTGTTCAATTGGTAGCGAGGTGGCGTAACTTGACGACGATACGATAATCATGGTGTAATAAACAAAAAGAAAGGAACGAAGGGCGGGTGGGAAGTAATAAAGAAAAATAAAGGTGGTGGTGGTTTAGTATAAAGAAAGTAAGAGTAACTAGAGGTACTGGTCAATGACAATAATAGAATGAAATAGAATGGGATCTCGGGGTATGTATGCTTATATAAACACGTTTGATATATAAGTGAAGATGAAATATCGACAAAAGATTACTATATAGCCCCTGCACAAAAATGTATATATGCATTTGTGTGAGTAACGAATATCGTATTTCTTTATACAATTATTCTACATAATTTTTTTTCGACAACCTACGTCACTCTAATTGTTTATTACTAAATATCCTTCGATGAAGATACTACTATTGATTTATTATGTAAATGAACATTTCACTTACTTCTAATTGTCCTGATAAGACGAACATTCTGTTTGGTTAATCGAAAAGTGTAGAGACACTGACCAAATATATACTTGATGAATTAGTATAATATTTTGACTCCAATATAATTTGCATTTCGTAGCTGGCTATGCCAACATGATATATCAAATAATATTGTTATCTTGTGACCTACTTTTTTTAAATCACCTAAAGGATGGCCTAGGTTAGATACGACTATAGTATAGAATTTATGCACAATAAGTTATGTTAAGTTATGTGTCCTACACTTCGATTGTCCGCGCTATTCCCTTTCGGAAAAATGGATGAGCTGTCTGGCTCATTCGACTGGCTAGTCGAAAAGTGGAGAAACACTTTGGAAAGACTTATAGACAATTTAAACATTGATTATGACGTTATTATGATAATACTCTTTCCAGACAAAAATGGCCTTTTTATAGCCCGCAAAAATGGTTTAGCGATCTCTGGTGAGATTCTTGAGATATTTTTTGTTGTATTTGATTGGTCAATATGATATAATCTTTTACGTGAGCATTTTATGGAATGCGTAAGAGAGTAGTTAAATTTTGTGTAAGGGTATTATTTTTTTATTCATCTTATCTACGGAGGAACACTGATTTGGTGATATATTTTTATTATTGTATGTATTAAAACGTAATACTACAATGGTAATCGATGGTAGAGAGGTGAGATTTGGCGTTGAATAAAAGTAGTAGTGGTTGACTACATTGTAGCGACCTCTTGAGTATGCAACACTATTTGGAAGAGGTACTCTTGCTATTTGACTTGTAATTTGAATGAAGCAAATAACAGTATAAGATACAGAAAATTTTTGTAAATATTTACATACTAAACTTAGACACAAATTCAAGAGTTTTATGCTGCAAAATCAGTTTAATCAATTTAGAAATGCACTAATCTTAAAATTAATATATATTTTTTTTAGTAATCAAAAACGCTTATATATGTTTTATATTACAAATTATAATTTTTTGATAACATAAAATTTAAGGACGTTAAATAAATCTGGGTGTCGTAATTATTTTGGAGTACTAAGCTCCTAGCCCTATTTTCTCCAGTATTACTGATACAAATAATATTTTTAACATTGTTTATTTATATGATTAATCTATGTTTAGGATATTCAATGTGGTTTTTTACCATAATTAGCCTTTTTTTGGCTTTTGAAAAAATTAGTGGTTCTATAACAACATCAGAATACCCACCCCTTTTTCCTGCATTAATTCAATTATTCGCAGATGGAGTGAATGCTATGAATCGCGCCCTTCGTGATGAGCCAGTGACACATGTCGAATATGACTTTATCATAGTTGGTGCAGGATCTGCTGGCGCAGTAGTTGCTAATCGGTTAACAGAAGTAATTATTTTTTTTCAATTAGAATCTTATAGAAATCATTTTTGTATTTTATTAATAGATTCCTTCATGGAAAATATTATTGATCGAAGCTGGCGAAGAAGAACATTTTGTTATGGATATTCCTTTAGCGGCAAATTTATTACAATTTACTAAAGCCAATTGGAAATATCAAACTATGCCATCAAATAATTACTGCTTAGGTAAATTTTATTTTACTTTATAGCCAATAACATAAAATATTTAATATATTATAATAAACTTAATATAATATATTAAAAGTAAGATTAACTTTTGGGACTAATTTAAATAGCTCTCATAAGAAGATTTCTATAACATATAAGATAATTCTTTTATGTTTTTATGTTTTATGATTCAAGACAACTTATTTAATCAAAAAACAAAAACAATATTGATAACTTTTTTTTGTTTTCTTTAAATTATAAAATATTTAATATGTTCATCTCTTACACTTTATATGAATGTAAGATTAATTTATTATATGAAAACATATCTATTTAACTAGGTTAAAAATAAAAATTATTTAATTGAGAAAATTACGGATCGAAAACGACTTTTAAACCAGTATTTCAAAAATGATGAACATTTTTAAATCTTGACGGGATGAAAAGTGGTGTTGACAAATGCAATAAATATGTTAAAAATAGCAACACATGCGCTTTATCTTTAGTCATTACTTTAAATTGTTAAAAATTCTGAAATACTGGTTCAAACGTTATTATCGACCGAATAATATGTTTCTATAAGTTGAACTCATGATCATATTTATTGCACATCATCTCATATATTTTTGAAAATGTATGATATATTAATGAGCAACCCAGAGATTGAGCCACTAATTTATTTCTTTTTAAATAAAGTTGTTAATGTATCAAAATTTGATTATTATTTAATAATAGACGGTCATCAAAAGATATTGAAAAATAAAAAAATAGCATTATGAAATTCAAACCTGGAACTCTAGGAATCGCATCACATGACATTTTCACTAATTAACGCGATATTAATATAAAGTTACCGATACAAACGTAGATTTTGGTATAAGTGCAATATAGGTTGCACACAAATATGACATTTATATAAATTAGATAATATATTCGCTAAACATTGTTGAACTACCGCAATCTGGGGATGGCTATAGTGAGAATTTAGAATTTGAATTATTCAGCCACAAGTAATGAAAATTATATGTTAATTTATATACTTCTAGACATATTTTGAGAAGAGGAGATATTAAATTAGATCTCCTAAATTTTTTATTCAAATTTTGCCTATGTAAATATACTAGGAAAAAAATGTTTTATAAAGGGTGAAAATAATTTTGAAAAGCTAAATTTTTATACAAACAGTAAGGGTTATAATATAATTATGCTAACGCTATTGGAGCACAATTTGTGTCAACAAATCATTTTTTTAGCAATATCTTTGTAACCTTTGGGTCTACTGATTATCCACTACTTAGAGAAACATTGGACAGTAATATATTAGTCGAGCAGAGAAATGAAAATGTAATAAGGTTTGCAATAAGGACGTAAGCCATATATGATATACAAATTCAACGTGAACTCACATTAAATTTAAGAGAAAAATATAGATTCAAGAAAAATAAAACGATAGCACAATGGGAGGTCGCGGCACAGTGTGGACGTGGCATAGTTGGGACATAGTTAGAGATTTTAATCACTGTCATAAGTAACGCTTCGATGCAAATCTGTAGATGGTGTTTAATTTTAAGAATTGGTGGATTATTACAAAAACAAAGTTAATTCCTATTTATTTAATTATATTCAGAATAGTAGTTCTTTAATTTATAAGTATAATCTTAATCTTCTTTTTCCTCAACATTATCCCAACTACCTAAATTGAATAATAAAAGATCAAGTAGTGAGGCATTGTTATTAGAAATTTTATTTATTTTGAAATAAATTAAGAAATATCAGATTTTCCAAAAAATGGCTTCACAAATGAATAAGTTTAATTAAACATTTAATGATGCTTGATTTAAATATGAAAAAATATTTATTGTAGAAACTAAATATAGTATAAGATTGATACTTAATAATTTAGTATTGTAATATTTTCGGAGATTTTATAAAAAATTATTAAATAATTATTACTTTTATGGCAAACGTATATAAAAATTGAAGGGCTTGATATAACACTTTTCAGAAAATTATTGTTAATTATAATTTAAAGATTTTACAAGTAATTTTCATTGGATTTAAAAATATACTTTCATTAATTAATTTTTCGTGATAATTTCAAATCTACAATTAGATTTTTCTATCACCGCTAATTTTTGAAATTATTACTAATTACTATAGAATATAACTATAAAAAATATATTTCTGAATATTTCAATTTTATCATCGATTGAAACACCAAACCCAACCACGAGTTACATAGAAATTATTAATATTTCTTTTGAAATAATTTATTAAGATATAAATACAAAATATATAAGTGTTTCAACGAAATTTTGGGCTTTTTTCGTAAATTTACTGTTAATAGTAATTATATAAGTTTCTGACTCTATATCGATCTAAATAAAACCATTTTTGAAATCTTCATTATCTTTGTATTAAATGATATTTTAAATGTTGAATTTTAAACTTGAAAGTTAACTAAACAAAAGCTTAAAAGTTCAACATTTTTAAACAAACTTTCATAAAAATCAACTTTAAAGGAACAAAAAAGTAGGTTAAACATGACATATTGAATCGAAATTTTGCTCGGATTATTTTAAACAAATCAAAAATAAAAATCAATTTTTAAATGTAAATACTCGTTTTTATAAATTAATAATCATGTAAAAAAAAGAGGCGATGGAAAAAATCTATTTTCAGTTATTCAATCTAAATGAGATAAAAATCAAACAAATTTTTCCACCTAAAAAAGAATTTAAAAAAATACAAAAAAAACATTCATCGCCCAGATTTGAACGTTGTACCCCAAGCGTGAAACAAGTGTGACCGATTCAACAACCGTACATCAAAAATATATTTGTGTAAAGAATAAAATTTAAATTAGTTTGGCAATTCAAAGTCGTTTCTTATAACGTAGGAGCCAAAATATTTAAAATAAGTTTCAATTTATATTCAATCTAAGTTAGATTTATACAACTTTTATAAAAATCGATTAATTCATTACTATGGCAAACCCTTGTAAGGTATTTTAATATAAAATGTTATAGAAATATAAAATCAAAAATATGAAATCGAGAATTTTAACACAAAAATAGCATATTTTTAAATACGGTTGCTATCTTGATCACAAAGACAATATAAAATTTGAATTTTTTTTTTTTCATATTACAAAAGCAATAATATAAGATATATATAAAAGATTTAGCATTTTGGAATATTTTCAAAAATTAAATTGAAAAATTTATCATTTTGAATCCCCCCTGTGGAAGGGAGAAGGATCAGATTTACAAAAAAAATATACTAACTAATTGGTAAATATCTAATATATTTATAAAAAAACATTGTTTCTATTCATCTAATTTTCGAAAATTCAAAGCAGTTTTTAGTAAAAAAATTGAAAATATGTCAAAAATTACCGATTTTTAAAATTGCAATTTTTTTACAGTTACAGTCTCTTATAGTTAATTTCGTTATATACTGACTTAATCATACATCAGATGTTAAAATTTAGTATCATTTAGCAACTAATTTATTAAACTAAAGAAAAAATAATTAACTATAAAAATGTTATTTACATAAAATTAAAAATTGTAATTTAAAACTAAAAATATTCAAAATACTTAACTCATAAAGTCACAAAAAATACTTTGACAGGAACAATATTACAATCATCAACTATCAACACATACTGACACCTCGGATAAAAAATACGCTTTTATATACCCCTTATTACCTAGTGATATTATTACCGAGTGATTTTTACATCTAGTCACCAAGATTGACACATTTTTCCAGTTTACATAAGTTTAATAATAAATTCGATATCCTAGACCCCTATCATTAAATTACTCATTATTTTAAACATTTTTGATGCCTATCTTATGATTAATTCCTTGTAATTATTTACGTTTTAAATTAGTTTTAATTAGTTGATTATGTGTCTATTATAAATGTTTAGCCAAAGAATATTTATCTAATTTTTGATTTATAATGATTATTAAGTGCTCTTGAACCCTGAAGTCTATGTTTCTTTTTGTTTATCTTACATAACATTTATTACAAACATTACATTGCATTTTATGAATGCTTAATTTTCTTCCTACTACTTTTCCTCAAGATTACCAAATTCCAAACGTAAATAATTACAAAAGACTTAATATAAGGGAAGCAATAGAAATGTTTAAAATTATGAAAAAATAAATAAATTGGGTTCTAGGAATGCGAAATTCATTATTAAACTCGAGTAAACTGTTAAAATACGGCTAGGTGATAAGATCAAGTGATGTATATAAGAGATATTTTTCGATCGGAGTATCAGTATGTGTTAAGTGCTGATATTCCACATGTAATATTGTTTCTAAAATACGTACATACGATTTATGGTATTTATCGTGGCATTTTGAACTAAGTATTTTTAATATTAATATTTTATTTTAAAATAATATTAGCTACTAGTCATTAATTTTTATGATATACTATATATTTTTTCAAAATATTAGTATTATTCATTCGCAAAACTAATGCATTTAAAAGTTGAAATTTTGATTTATTTAAATTGTTATGTTTATTTTCGTATATCTACCAATAATACTATCCTGATTCTATTTTATAATTATAAAAAAAAAAGTAATACATCAATAAGAATTTTTTTCTGAGACACTCTAAAAATGAAATATTGAGTTTGAAAGAGTTGATTTAGTAATTTAACTTTTTAAAATATTTAAGTTTATTTCTTAATAAAATACATAAATTAATATGTTTTAGGACATATAAATAGGCAATGTAATTTTCCTAGAGGAAAAGTAATGGGAGGATCAAGTGTGCTCAACTATATGATTTATACAAGAGGACATAGAAATGATTATGATACGTGGGCCAATTCTGGAAATATTGGTAAGTAAACAATAATAATATAAAATTCATAATAAAAATGTGTACACAATGTATTATGAAATTATATTAACATAATGTTGGGATCATGAACCTTAAAAGTATTGAAATCGTTTTGAAATATCTCTATAACTTCATGACTGTGCGTGTATATAAACATCATCATCAAAATTTGAAAAAAATTCTGTCGTTTCTCGTAAAGGAAAGAAATCCATAAAATATTATAAATATTTAAATTTCTATATTTTTTAAACTTTTTTTTATATTAAAAGTACCATAAATTTTTAAAAAATGGACGAGACAAAATAATTTTTTTACTATATCTTTCATTAATTATATTGTTTTCGAACATTTGACCCTTTACCTGCCCACAGAGGGAGTTTCAAATAACAACTTTTACATGCCTAGTTAACTTTTTATGTTAATATTCTGAACTTTAAACATATGTTAAATAAAGGTTTATTAAAGCTTATAATATACGATAATTATTGTTTATGCTTATAATGTAGGTCAAACTATCAAGTCATATACGTGGCTGATAAGCATCCCTTTAATTTCCCATTTTACAAACAATAATAATAATAATAAACAGTAATACAATATAGACTTAACATAGTTGGGATAAGTATAAATAATATGACAGTGATTAAAATCACCATCATAAAAAATGTTTTGATGCAAATCTGTAGATCGTATTTAATTTTAATATTAATAATTTAATTTGGTGAATTATTCCAAAAGCAAAATTTACTCCTATTCCCTTCATTATTTCTAATTAGTAGTAGTTCTATGATTTATAAGTATAATACAAAAATAAATAAATTACTAGTTTACATCATTGTATTTCCCGAACTTATCATGCTCTAAAGGGTGATGGGTCAATTTTATTAACTATACTTTGATTAGCTATTATTTAATTTTATAGGTTGGAATTCAGATGAGGTTTTAAAATATTTTCTCAAATCCGAAGATGCTAATATGACTTTTCGAGATGATGAGTTCCATAGAAAAGGAGGTTTTCTCTCTGTATCTGATATACCATACAGAAGTAATGTGGCAACTGCCTTTGTTAAAGCAGGGAGAGAAATAGGATATCCTGTGAGAGATATAAATGGAGAAAGTCAAATTGGATTTAATTTTCATCAAGTTACAATGAAAAACGGTATGAGATATAGTACTAACGTAGCCTTTCTTTATCCATTAAAAAAACGAAAAAATTTACATATTCGAAAAAAAAGTCATGTGACCCGAATTATTTTTGACAAAACAAAACGCCGAGCAATTGGCGTTGAGTATGCTAGGTCAAACAAAATATATAAAGTTTACGCCAGAAAAGAAGTGATAATTTGTGGAGGCGCTATCAATTCTCCACAGCTGCTTATGCTATCTGGAATTGGGCCCAAAGACCACTTGGTATCAAAAGGAATAAAAGTAATACGAGATTTACCAGTTGGACGTAATTTAATGGATCACGTAGCTTTAGGAGGATTGACGTTCATCGTCAATGACACGAATTCCATTAAATCACAGAGAATTTTAGATAATCCTAATTCTCTTTATGATTTTATGAAATACCGTACGGGACCAATAACAATACCCGGGGGTACTGAAGCAATTGCGTTTTTCGATCTCAGTCGACCAAGAGATCCTAAAGGACATCCTGATCTAGAATTATTATTTATTAATGGAGCTGTTAGCTCAGACGACTCAGTTAGAAGATCTTTTGGAATTTCTAATTACTTATATGATCGAGTATTTAAAAAAACTGAAAATAAAGATGCATATATGGTGTTCCCAATGATTTTGCGGCCTAAAAGTAAAGGATTTATAGAGCTAAAAGACCGTAATCCTTTTAGATACCCTGCTATCACACCAAATTACTTTTCGAATGAAAAAGACTTAGACATAATAATAGCTGGAGTAAGAATTTGCCAACATTTAACTAAAACCAAAGCTTTACAAAGTATTGGTACCAGGCTATGGGATATACCAATACCAGGGTGTGAGTCCTTTGCATTCGACTCTGATGATTATTGGAAATGTGCGGCTAGGCAATTAACTTTTACAATATATCACTTATCTGGTACTTGTAAAATGGGACCACTGAAAGACCCTACTGCAGTCGTCGATCCAAGGTTACGTGTACAAGGAATTGAAAGACTACGAGTTATAGATGCTTCTATTATGCCAGAAATACCATCTGCGCATACTAACGCGCCAACAATAATGATAGCTGAAAAAGGCTCTGATATGATAAAAGAAGATTGGGGAATTCTTATTTAGATATAATATTAAGTCAAACTAAAATTTTAAGACTGATGAAAAATGTTTAACATTACCACACTTAAAAAATTATCGATTTATTGTAAATAATTGAATAAATTGCAATTGTTTTAACTAAAATTTAATCAGTACAACTATAATAATGTAGTTAACTATTTTTAATAATTGATACAACTATTTATACTGAATATTATATAATGTGGAATAGACCTAACTGGCAACTCTTATAATTTAAAATTAATTCAAATATAATAATTCAAAATTAAAAAAAAATAATATCTTTACTTACTCAAAAATCAACTGCCCTCTTACACATACCATAATACGTCCACATAAAATATTTTGTTACATTGATCACTCAAATTCAACAAAACACATCTTGAGATTTTCACCAAGTATTATAAGTGCCACTTTTGAACGCAATAAAAGTAATCCTAAAAACAGGATTTCTTAGTCAATATTCTTTCACATGTAATCTGTGTCAGTATATATAAATGTATATTAAAAAAATGTTATACATATTATCTTAAGTAATTAACGTTATATTTAGACGATTCAACATTTTTTACCTAAATATCCTTATAAGAATTTAATACTATATTAAAATAAAAATAAATACTATATTATTATATTTAATAATTTAAATTATTAGAGTTTGTTCTTGGGTACAACTTTATATCAAATCTATGTCGCAATACATTTCATTTTTAGTCGCTGGGACATAAAAGAATTCTAATAAGTCTTATTTTTGGTTGAACACTTTTAATGATACAACTTATTCAATATATAAAATATATTGTTATTGAACTTTTTTTTTTATTACACATTTAATACATTAAAAAAACCATATTATTAGATTACAATGTGTATATTGCTTATAGAAGGGACATACCCTAGCTGGATAGAGTAGTAACACTATAATATAATCAAAGTTTTAATTAACCACAAACGTTCTCCAAAGTGTTTCTCCACTTGTCAACTAGCCAATCTGATCTCAGCCGAATTTTCGAAACGAAATAGCTCGAGCGATTAAAATGTAGTGAACTAGTATAATCTATTGTGTAAAAAACTTAAAATGAATTTACATCTAACCTAAATCACCCTGCGGATGACTGAGAAGATGTACCCCACTTGTTTATTAAACAGAACAGTAATATTGTTTATAATCTTATTATTGGTTTCACTATTTATAATGTGTTAGTATAAAAATAATATACAGAAAGTCGGAGAGTAGACCTTATAAATACACAAAAAAGGCTTACATGGAACCTTAAAAGGATATTAAACTTAATTCTAACGTTGAGTAGATTTAATATAGAGTTTTACTGAATTAAGTCGCGCAGGTTTAAGTATATGTATACATATCATTAATAGTGACATCAACTACAAAGGTCATTGCAATAAAATATTTGTCTTACCAGAAGAATTATAGGTAAATGAAAATATTTATTTTTTTAATAAATCTATACCTTTATGGAAGGATTTTAAGTAATAAACAATTAGAGCGAGGTAAGTCGTCGGAAAATACTGACTAAATAGTTGCATAAAAAAAACACGACATTCACAAATCATACAGATTTTTTTATATAATATTTTGATAAAGCAGTCAAGTAGTAACACTTCATTTCCGTTTTATCTTACATTCGCATATATCAGACAAGCATTTTTAAGCGCTCATAGCCCGAAATCCTTTCAATTTAATTGTACTATTTATTAAAAGTGAGAGTTACTTTAAGTCGGGGTGTATGTCTAATCTAATATTGACTCTTATTGATTTGAAATCTTACCTAATAATTTTTTTTATTTCTTGGAACAACTTGAGTGATAGTATTAATTAATAATTGATAAATAAAATAACACGAATGCGGTTAAATGCATAACTTTAATACGTAAAAACTTTGACAATGACAATTTTGATGTAATGATATCGAGTATGCCATTAGAACAGAACAGATTGTAAGGGTTTGTTCTGCCTTTGCAATACTTTGTATTATTCCCGAAAATCATCATTCTTACAATGTTATTGTTTATTAATAAGATATTATAAAATAAATAAATTACTACAGATTAATAGTATACAGATAATTTTGACATTTTATACAATGTTAGGATGGTTTTTTAAACCGGTCCCACATGTCTTATTTACTTGGCGAATATTCACCAATCGATGTGTTTTAAGAGTCGTATAGGAGTTATATAATCGTAAAGCATGACAATTATTTTTACTCGCCGAGTCATTCGTGATTTTCCATCGGTTGTCGGTAAATGCGACATAAGTGTAAGGACTTTAAAAATAATTGCATTTATTTAATTGCAAATCGTTTAAGTTCACACATGACTTTTAATGGCTCGTCACTCGTCAACATATAATTTAAACACTTTAAACATTTTATCATTTGATATACCATGTTTATACGTGGCAGATATGTACGTTGTATTTTTTCTTTTGTTTAAGTATTTTAAAAGTGTATTTAATATATTTTGATATTTGAGTCGTTAATATTATAAATAAAAATCAAATAAACATTTTTAACTACATCTACTAGTACTTATTTTATTAAAAAATGGAATGATCAAACGATCATATAATACAATAGAAACTTTTTGTGGTACAAGAAGTATTGATTTTCTAAATATCCGAAATATACTTGTCATTAAGTCCAACACATTTTCAACTACCCTGCGAGCATAGAAAAGACAATAGTTGAAAATTGGCTGGGAACTTCCTTTTTTGTGTATTCCACGATAAGGGTTCATAATTTGTGAACTTAAACCGAAGGTATCATCAGCGACAAATAAGAACGGCATAGTTATTTCTTTTCCAGGTAGTGGTTTGTTAAATATTTCATTTATTTTCACATAATTTTATATATAATGTACAATTACGAAAAACTCCACCATCGCTGATTCGTCCTTGACAAACTACGACGGCGAAAGTAAAGCAATAATCAGCATCCACAATAGCCATTAATATCACATTAAATGTATCTTTGTAATTTATATGCTTTAAGTTACTGTTAATTGGAGATTGTAAAACTATGTGATTGCCGTTTATGGCCCCAATGCAGATAAAATAATTCCATTTATTATCGAATTCTTTAGTAATATTCTAACATTCCTTTAGCGTCCAAGACACCTAAAAATTGTTTTTAAATATTATCTTATTCTTCTTCTTTTTCCTCGTCTTAATCCCAACTACTTGGAGTCGGCCACCCTTATCCTAAACATCCACTTGACACAATCACCCACATCATCTACGCTCACATCAGCCGACCTCATATCGCATTCAATTACATCCCCCCATCTCTTTTTTGGCCTTTCTCTACCTTTTGGAACTTCAATATTAATTTCTATAATTGTTCTTACAGCTTCCGATTCCTCTCTCCTCATAACATGACCAAACTATTTAAGTCTAATTTTTTTCATCTAAACAACGATTGACGCTACACCTATACTTCCTCTAATATGTACGTTCCTTATCCTATCTTCTCTAGTCACTCCAATTATCCATCTAAGCATTCTCATCTCTGCTACACTCATATTCTGTTCTACATTCTTGTCAACCGCTCAACACTCTGAACCACACATCATACATGGTCTCACTGCAGTCTTATAGAATTTACCTTTTAGCCTCATTGGAATTCTCTTATCGCATAATACATCAGACGCTTCTCTCCACTTCACATGTATACTTCTAATTAGTATATTTTAATATTTATAATTTAGCAATATATATATAGGGTGATTTTTTTTTCATAATCCACTCAATTACTTGCAGAATAAATATAATTTAAACATTTTTTTTTGTTTATCTTTAGTTACACATTATTCTTGAATTATTAACTAATAAAACTGTAATACTTTTTAAGTTCATCCCTTATGCCTTGTAAGGGTCTCAACTTTGTATTTTTAAATGGAAACACATATTTTGAATTTAATAAAATGTTTGAGTTTTTAATTTAATAGTAAACGGCATTTGAATTTTTAATATAACTTTATTCATTTAAAAAAACAAAGTTGACATCCTTACAAGACATATATATTTTAGTGAAAGTATTAATTAAATAATAATTGCATTGAAGCGTTTCTTATGACAGTGATTAAAATCTCTGTTAGACATCATCTATACTTGTCCCAACTATACCACGTCCACACTGTGCCGCGACCCCATTGTGCTACTGTTTTTTATTTTTCAATTTTATATTGTATGCAGCATACATTACCGTAAATGCGGCACTTACCACGGTCTTCTCGTCGTCACTATCCAATGCAAATATTGAGTTTATAAATTTTATCTTTTTTATTTTTCTTGTTCGAATAATCAGTAATTATAGGAGTTGTGTGGAAGTATTTAAGATGTCAATAAAGTACACACCTTTGACGAATAATCGATGAATACAGGAATATAATATATAATTATCACATTTTTAGATTATTTTAGCAGTATAAACATATTTGCTATATAACCTGAATTCTCTAGCAATAATCTTTTTAAATTATCTCTATAAGCAACGAGTCAAGTTCATGATGAACTTTAAATATTCATTATAGTATATATATACTAGATTACATATACTTCAACGTTATGTATTTTAATTTGTATTCTATTGGATTTTCATAAATAGCATATTATATGAAATTTTAGTGTCTCAAGTATATCCTATTAAATGCTGATAAAAATCAATGATGTTTAAAACGATTTTTGTCTTTAATTCAAATAATTCATAGAATAATATTGTCGGAACGTTTTTCTAATTTCCATCATAAAGTAACCTTAAAAAGCTTTTGTTTTATATAAGGTTAAAGGTTATTTTGACAGTTGATTTTCTAGTAGAAAATTTTAAGGTAATTTTTTTTTAAATATAATAATTTTATAATTATTAACAAGTTAATCAAATAAAGTTACATACTACGTGCAGATTTATACATAATTAAACAATGTTAGAAATTGTATATGAGAACTAGATTCCAATCCTTGCAATCGTTTTGCAATTTTAAAGTCGTTCCTACCAATACACAACTGTACTTTTTTTAGGTGGAGGTACCATCTTAAAAAAGGTCCTTGATTTTGATGAGAACATGTGAAATATTGTGTATATATATATATATATTAAAATATACTTATATTTACATCATAAGTGTTACTACAAGCACTATTTAACTATAGTGATTACTTAGATAAAATATTTTGTACTATTTAGATTAAAAAAAACTGTACCGTTAATCTTATTTATTTAATATATCAATAAATCTATCAATAGAAAAAATAATTTCTAAATATAATTTTTACAGTCAATTTCAAAAATAATCAAAAAAATAAATACCATCTATTAAAACTAAAAGGTAAGTTAATTATCATTTTTATTTAGAAAATTATAATAAGAAGTGTCATAATAATATTACTTTCCATAAACGTCAATTATTATTACAAATTGATATTATTAATCCTATTGTAATAGGGATAATTTGTTTTTGGTTTTTATAATTATTCATTTAGAGCATTTTAGTTTTATATAGTTACATATAAACATATAATCCAAGTGCATTTAAAGATTATTTTATTTTTTTTTAATAAAATACTTTTATAAATTGCCTAAAAAAATTATTTTATTCTGTCGATATTAAAATCTCTAAATTATACTTCAAATAAAGTCTAAGTTAAACCAGCTAAAATTTTTTTCGATGATTTTTTTTTAATTTCTTAAACAACATTAGATAATTTCAAAATTATATTGAATATATTCTTTGGTTTTTAACTTCTACATTTTTTGTACTATATATTTCTAATAAAAGTCATCAGGAATACATTTAACATATTCTTTAGAATTGATTATAATACTTGTGGTATATCCATCAACTTATTTTTAACAAGGTAACTATAACGGTACAAAAAGGTTGTATAAAATTAACTTTTTTCTACGATAAGTTTTTTACAAATCAAATATCAATTAATGTTTCTTCGTGGTTCAACAAATATATTTTAACGTACTATTAAATCTAGCGTTTCAATTTTTGACATTCGTGCACATTTTCATACATAAAAAAATAACAAATTGAATTTTGAAGAAATATTAAGCATATATTTAAGAATTATAAGATTATTTAATTATATATAATGTATATATACATATATCTAATAAATAATTGTTCTCAAAAAAAAAATCATTATTGGTGATTTTTTTACACTATAATACACTGTATTATCGTAAATATCAATAATATTTGTACATTAAGATACTTATGAAACATAATATAAGGTTATAAAAAAAATATCCAAGTACGCTCATCTTTATAATATTTTTTTGATGTATCGTTCAGAAGTAATTGTTATGGCATCTGAAGCCATGCGAAATAAAAATTTCTTATTCTTTAAAATGACTTTAACCTTCATGAAATAATTGTTGTTTCGTAAATAATACAAAAAATATCATAACAAAAAAAAAAGAGAAAATTATTTATTAAAAAATATTTTTTTGTTAATTTGTGTCATGAACAATGCGATCTTTGAACTTTTTGTGTCCTCTGGTACTTATATAATTAATATAGTGTACAAATTGTCGTAAAAATTGCAGTTGAAGTAACGCCCGTAGCATTAAATTTTATTTAAATAAACAAAAAATATCTGTAAATTTATTAATATCATAATTTTTAAAACATTTTATCATTCTTATTAAAAACTAACTAAAATAATATTTTATCAAATAATCTAATATTGTGATATTTATGAATTTAGTCTTTTATTTATTTATTGTGTAAATATACAACTGAAAACTAGTCTTCAACCCGATTATATTAAACGACATTAATCATGTTTACTTCTATTTCTTTAAGTTTTTGGCTTAGCCTTAAGTTTTAAAACTAAACTAAGACTATGATTGAGATTTTCAATCTAAACTTTGCCGTTTAAAAACCAATTACGCGTGTCAACTTGTCCCATATGATTTTTTTTTATTTTATTCAAATTTTTTTTACATAATATAATTATTTATAATAAATTATTACTACAAAATGTATATCTTAAACTTTATTTTCATATAGTAAAATTTATTTTAAGAATTAAATTTCATATAAGATGAGGTTGGGTAAGTGCGTACGTGTTTTTTCTTCAAAAAGTCACAACCGATTTATTGATATATTATGGCCAATTTACCCTAATTTTACCTACTTGTTATTTTATATAACAAATAAAAAATTGGCGTTGAATGCAACAAGTAACTCACATACTATTTAAATAGGTTAAGTAAAAACTGTTTTCTTTCATAAAAATAACAAATTAAAACAAAATTATGTTTCGTATTATATGTAATTGTACATTTTGTTAAGTTAAGTGTTATCGTATTAAAGAGTTATTTATACAACATATTCCTTAATATAATCGTTCAAAATATTTATAACTATAGTGATTTTAATTTTTTGATCAAGTTCATTTAAGATACCTCTTAAAAAAAAAATTATAAACTATTTAAAAAAAAAATTCTTGTTACGCCATTGTCTTTATATAATTTCTTATCAAATATATGGTTTCTTAGCTGTATACCAGTTTACTTACACTACACAACATAAGATCAAATATTTTCTGTGCCAAACAATTGATAGTGGATTCTGAATGAAATTTTGTCACAAATTTCAAATCTGAAATATTCAGGTTGATTCTAGTTTTTGAGACAATCGTTAATTACTGAAAATCAGGTTTTTAAATTCAAAATTTGAGATATTTATCTCAAGTTTAAGCCACTACATAGGCCTTCAGTTGATTTTGACGTTTTAAAGTTGAACTTTTCTTTATAACTTCTTTTGCTGAATCCTATAACTATACATTTTTTAAGACTGATAGGAAATTTCACAAAAATTTTTAAATTGTAATTTGTATGTTTTCAGCATAACTAAATATTGAAATAATTACTATTAACATAAAAAAAATTATGATATTATCACAATTCTTTTGTAAAAATATTGTAATTATAAAATAAAAAATATTTAAAAAAAAAAATGATATTGAACAATGCTACATAATTTGACACTGAAAAATAATGGATTAATTAAATTTCAGGTATTATTATTATGTAATAATTTATAGGGTTATACAACCCAATTAAAATATAATACTTTTTTCAGGAACGTCATTTCATATTATACAAAATGGAGCAAATTTTTGCCCAATATTTCACAAAGCCGCTTGTGATTTATTCCCTATTATATAACCACTAAACTAATTTATATTAAAAAAGAAATATTTTTAAAAAATGACTATATGACTTTTTTTTACAATTTTAACATAAATAATATATATATATTCAATTTTTATGCTAGTTTGAAAAATGGAGTTCATGATGAAAATAAAACCATACAATAAAAACATAATATTTTGATTTAATACATCAAAGGTTGACTAAAATTGATGAGAGACACTATGACCCCCCATAAAAAGGGGGGATATTGAAAAAGTAGAGTCAAATTTGAATTTAGCAACCTCTAAAATACTTTTATTAACGTTTTTTTCTTCTCAAAAGTAAAAAATGTTGACTTATATTAATTTTGTCCAATTAAAATGCATTTAGAACACAGTGCAGCTCCAATATGTTCTAAAAAATTTAGACTAGGACAAACGTCTAAGTTTCCCCTTCCTCCAAATGACGTCCCAGTTTTTTCTCATTTATTAATTTATAACTCTTATAAAATTGCTGTACGAGTTTTAAAATTATATCAGTTAATAAATTGATTTTATGTTTATCAACTTTTATTTGATCACCTTGTCAATTCATCCTTAGATCTAAACATAAATTAGTTTTATTTTAATTACTACCAATTTATTAATACTCTGAGATAGTCTAAAGATCCGTACCAGAGTACTATTGGTTAAGAAAACTATCGTTTTATTACCAACGGCACTATTATCGTTGTTAAAACCGCACGTGCCTTCAAAGAAAATGTTTTTTTATAAAAATAAATATTCACTAAAAATATAAGGATATGAAAATTATAACATTAACTTAGTATTAAGTTTAAAAATATTTTGATCATATTCGGCGTCTAATGTCCACTCTATCCAATGTATTATAAAGTAGTCAGATCAGTTTAAATAAAAAAAATCCTTGCCGTTCTTAAAGCACTACTATAATATAAATTACTTTTAATACTTGAATAAATTATACAATAAGTTATTTTTATTACATAATTTACTATAAATAAATTGATTTGTTGAATTTAATTTCAGCTCTTTAATGTAATATTTTATATGTATGACCATATTTTTCTATTTGTTTTGTTTGTTAAATGCAAACTGAAATATATATAAATGGCCTTGCATGAGAGTGGAAACATTTTAACTTTCTCTGCATTGCTATTTCTCTTGACATAAATTAACCAAAAGTGTACCAATCAGTTGTGTAGTATTGACCAACACATCAACCTATTAAAACAACATCTTTACTCTACGATTCTATGTAAACATTTTTTAAAGAATTTAACTTAAGCAAGCTTGACTAAAATTATTTGTATTTAGAAAAACTGCTCGCTAATGTTATAAAAAAATATATTAATATCAATTGATAGATATTATTTTAGAATAGTTTGCAATTGTTGCTATTATTTCTATTATGCTGTCAAAGACGTTTAGACGTCTAGAAATTTTACGCCTCAGGTCATAAAGAGGTAACACTTCCTCGACCCAAATTTCTTCAATAATATATTTTAAAAAACCAGTACAGGACACCAGTATATGTTGAAATCTGATGGTAATTAAAAACACTATTATAAAACACTTCAATTTGATTGCAAATAAAGAAGTTATTATAAAAAAATGTTGGGGCAAGAATTTGAACTCTCCCAAACTTAATTTCTTCATTTGCTTATAGAATAGACAATAATTTGTAAAAAACCAACCTCAAAAAATATTCATGAACAACAATTTAAATATTTTTAAAATATTACAATTTTCATATTAAAATCATACTAATTTTTTTTACTTAGTCATCCACTTACACAAAAGTCCTGAGGACAATTATTTTTTCTTTCAATATTAAATTTTTTTATTCAAATAACTTTATAAAATTTACATCTATACAAAATATATGCACAACCGTAAATGGGTTAACAGTAGTGAAAAAATTACAATATGACTTGAATAGCATGCAGTAGGGGGGCACCCAATGGAGCTACCTACTTTAAATTTTGATTACATTTTTTTTTTTTTTTTCTATAAATATTAAATTATAGACGTCTTTACAGATATTTTTTAGTCGTTGATAGCATTTCGATTTTTTGAAAAATTTTAGTGATGTTAAAATATATTGATACCTATCACGATAAATCAATTATAGATATTTTTAATAATTGCATTATAATAATTCTGGTGCCGCATTATGGAAGCGTCTAAATATTGGAATGAACCATTATGTACGCGGAAATTATCTTTGTGAAAATTAAATTAAATTAATTTTAAATTAAACATAAAATTCTATTTTTATAAGACTATTCAAAGTAAAATAAAAAAAAACATATCTTAAGTATTGCAAAAAAAAATTCAATGTATTTTTCGGAACTTTAAGAAAACATGAGATGTACTCGTATATAAAAATATAATGCACTAAAAGAACATATAACATTATTTTTTTTTAATTATACATAGAAATAGTTATAAGCTATTAGTTATATAGTTACAAAGCTCCAGCACAATCCGACCCTTGCGAATAGTAATTCTGTACTTTGGTACATTAATTTAAAGGCGTATTTAATAATCAGAGGCAAACTGGGACACAACATCAATAAAACCATACTCCAAATATCCTTCATTACCATACTATGTATATAGAGTGTTCCACCAGGTTTTGATATCTTAAATAACTTTTGATTTAACAAATATTTTGTATTACTTTTTATTTTAGAATAGTTTTTGTAATTTTAAGCACACTTTTTACTATTTATGTCAATTAAAATAAAAAGCTACATGATCTGCTAGTTCCTTATTAATATAATGATTAAGATAAAGTATGTCGAATGAAAAAGGGATTATAAAAAAATATTATTTCTCATAAAAAATTTGTGTTGATCCATACACTTTTCAATAAGTTACAGCATTATAAAGTTAAAAATGTAAAATATAAAATCGAGAATTTTCACACAAAAATAACATTAGGTAGCCATTTTCACCACAAAGACAAGTCCAGAGGTCAANCACCAGTACAAGTTGTACCCACCTACACGAAAACTTTTAACTTAATCTAAAATGTAATAATTATTTTTAAAAAAAACAGCACATGAGGGTCACGGTACAATGGTAACGTGACATAGTTGGGTCAAGTATAGATGATATCTGACAGTGATTAAAATCACTATCATAAAAAACGCTTAGTGTTTAATTTTAAAAAATTGGTGTATTATTCCAAAAGCTACATGATCTGCTAGTTCCTTAATAATATAATGATTAAGATAAAGTATGTCGAATGAAAAAGGGATTATAAAAAAATATTATTTCTCATAAAAAATTTGTGTTGATCCATACACTTTTCAATAAGTTACAGCATTATAAAGTTAAAAATGTAAAATATAAAATCGAGAATTTTCACACAAAAATAGCATTAGGTAGCCATTTTCACCACAAAGACAAGTCCAGAGGTCAAATTTTTTTTTTCATAATAAAGTATATTACATTAGCTTTCATTTAAGATATATATAAAAGTGTCAGACCTTCCGGAACATTTTCAAAAGTTAAGATGAAAAAGTAAAGTTTTTGTGAAAAAGTTGTCATTTTAAATCCCCTCTGTGGGCAGGTAAGGGTCAGATTTATAAAAAAAATATACCAAATGAAAGGTAATGATATCATGCATCTATATAAAAAATAATTATATTTATTTGGTTATTTTTAAAAAAGTTATGGCAATTTTAAGTAAAAGAAATTTCGAATATTAGGGATTTTTAAATTTGTAACTTTTTTTGGAAATTTCCCCCATTTACGGGGAACGAGGGAAATTTTTTCAACTAGATACGATTTGTGATCTTTTGACGTTTCGTTGAAGGAATTCGGTTCGGTGAAAGCTGAAAAAAAATGGTAACAGACACAAAAAAAACACATCATAGTAAAATTAATACCTTCTCAGCTTCGCATCGAAGCTAAAAAGTAACATAAAATATTTGACGAATTAAAGGTTTTTGAAGATGTCAAAACATGTTGGAACACTCTGTATTTACAGAATAAGAAAAGACATTTGGAATATGTTTTAGCTTCGATGCGAAGCTGAGAAGGTATTAATTTTACTATGATGTGTTTTTTTCACTTTCATCAGAATCCACTTCATCTTCTTCTTGATCAGGAAGATCAGGGTTCTCTCTGAATTTAGCAACATCACTTTCAAAATCTTTCATATATTTTCGGAATTTTTGTCTCAATGAAGCTAAGCTCTTAGAATTATTTTTTGATAAATTTTTCCGTCCAACACGGTCATCCCAAACATCATTAATGAAATCTTCCATCTTTACTAAACAACGAACAAAAAATCGAGGGGCAACTCCATTTTCTTCTTTCATAATGACTGCATTGAATGCTTTAGTGTAGGCACGAGTTAAATCTTCAAAACCTATTAAATAATTTAAACAAAACAATATTAAAAAACCCAGCACAGGGGGGTCGCGGCACAGTGGTGACGTGGCATAGTTGGATCAAGTATAATGATATCTGACAGTGATTAAAATCACTATCAAAAAAAAACGCTTCGATGCAAATCTTTAGATAGTGTTTAATTTTAAAAAATTGGTGGATTATTCCAAAAGCTTCATAAACTGCTAGTTCCTTATTAATATCCTGATTAAGANTTGTGTCTTGCACTTCGTCTGCACCTCGTACTTCATTGTCCTCTCCTATACCCCAAGTATTTGTGTCTTGCACTTCGTCTGCACCTCATACCTAGGTGTTACTCTTATTCTCCCTTCCTATAACAACAGCCTTTCGACACCCACAGCTAACCCGGAGTGTCAGCCGAGCACGGTGACTACTGTACGACAACACGCACGTGAATACCTAGACAGCAGGCACCACCTCCTCATATTCATCTTCGTACACATAGTTTCACATTTACCCATTTACCTAATATCATTTTCTTTCCTGTGTTACGACAGAGCACGCAAATAACAAATTAACAAAAACAAATAAATTACCTATTGTAACTACTAAATTATAAGAAAAGAAACAAATTAAAGATAAGATTTATCAAAAAATGTTTCATAGAGTATACTCTATCGAATTTTGTAATCAACTAGATTCTAATCAATGCAGATACTTGGTAGTTTGTTATCATTTGTTAGATCAGAGTTAAAAAAAATTTACCTACAACAAAAAAAAAAAAAAAAAAACACATCTTAGTAAAACCAATACCTTCTCAGCTTCGCATCGAAGCTAAAATTATGAATTGACATTTATTTTAGCTTTGAGACGAAGCTGAGAAGGTATTGGTTTTACTATGATGTATATATTACCACTTTTTCTCAGCTCTCACCAAACCGATTTCTTTCAAAGAAACGTTAAAAGATCACAAATTGTATCTAGTCGAACACATTACCCTCAAAAATTGAAATAATTTCCCTAAAATTTGCTAATTTTCGATATTTTTTCAATTTTTTTTACTTAAAACTGCCAAAACTTTTTCCATAATGACTATATCAATATATATTTTTTTTTTAGATGCATAATGTCTTTACCTTTCATTTGGTATATTTATTTTATAAATCTGACCCTTTACCTGCCCACAGAGGGGATTTAAAATGACAACTTTTTCACAAAAAATTAACTTTTTCATCTTAGCTTTTGAAAATGTTCCGGAAGATCTGACACTTTTATATATATCTTAAATTAAAGCTAATGTAATATACTTTATCATGAAAAAAAAAATTTTGGACTTTACTTTGTCTTCACGGTGAAAATGGCTACCGTATGTTATTTTTATGTTAAAATTCTCGATTTTATATTTTACATTTTTAACTTTAAAATGTTATAACTTTTCGAAAAATGTATGGATCAATACAATTTTTTTATGAGAAATAATATTTATATACCTCTTTAATTCGACATACTTTTTTTTTAAATCGAACCCCCCCTTAATACAGGGGGGTTCAAAACATAAAAATGCAAATAGAAAGTAGAACTTTTTCAACTTAATTTTTGAAAGTGTTCTGGAAATATTAACACTTTTATATATATCTTAAATTAAAGCTTATGTAATATACTTTAATGTTAAAAAAAAAAATTTCGGACTTTATTTTGTTTTCATGATGAAAATAGCTACTGTATTCAAAAATATGTTATTTTTGTGTTAAAATTCTTGGTTTTGTATTTTATTTTATTATAAGGGGATTACACTGATTGTCATAAATATTATATCAATCTAATTGACATAGTATAAAAAGTTAAACATACTTAAATTTTTTTGTTTCTTTGAAGTCGAGAAAAATAACTTCAAAATTTGAACTAACTAAATTTCCATTTTTATTAAGTGACGAATGCGACGTACGGTTTTTGTAACGGTAACATTTGGGTCTTTCACGCCTGTGGCACTGAATTTTTTCTTAATTCTTTTTGAGTTAGAAAAAAATGTTTAACTCATTTGATTTTTATCTCATTTAGATTCAATAACTTCAATAAATATCAAGGATCTCATTACTGTAGTCTCCTCTCGTGAAAAGAAATTCATATTAATATTATTTTACTATGTGGTTTTTTTTTTTGAGCTATCATTTATTTTCTCAGCTCTCACTTGACCTATTTTTTGACAATTTTTTTTTTTTTTAATTAAACACTACAGATTTGCATCGAAGCGTTTTTTATGATAGTGATTTTAATCACTGTCAGATATCATCNTTTTTTGACAATTTTTTTTTTTTTAATTAAACACTACAGATTTGCATCGAAGCGTTTTTTATGATAGTGATTTTAATCACTGTCAGATATCATCTATACTGGACCCAACTATGCCACGACCCCACTGTGCTGGGTTTTTTTTCATGTGCTCCAATTCGCCGCTGATTTTTAAACACGCCCTTAAGCTAATATACATAAGTACAGTATTTCTATTCGCAAAGGCGGAACTGTGCTGGAGCTTTGTAGCTATACAATATTAGCTTTTAACTATTTATAAGATGTGGGTCATACTGTATGTATGTGTTATAAATGTAGGGGAAAGGATTGGGGAAATAAAACTCATTTTTTGATTGAAATTTAGCCTAGTCAAAAATTATGAAAAGTAATTTGAATTCTTATACAAATAAATTTTAGAAGAAGGAATTAGATTTATCCCCCCAAAAATGTCATAATCTAGGCTTAAAATTTGTAAGTTGATTGGCCATGCTTGAAATGCAAATGTTATAAACTGATCAATGGCCCGGCCAGATCAGGGTTTATATTGAGGATAGTTGAACTGGGTCTCAAAATTTTGTTCCTTGAAAAGTTCTGATATACACTTACATGTAAATAGCAGCTTCTCACCAAGAATTTTTCTGGCTGTCCAGTTCGCCATTGATCGATGATGGTTTTTATTAAATTTAAATTCTAAATTGTCTGATTTTACCTTTCAGTACTTTTTTGATTTCAATATTTATTTATGTTAATAATTTAGTTAAAACTAATTAAATTTCATAACTTTTAAGTATTGTTGTAAATCAATTTCAATTTAATCAACATATTTCGGTAATTAAGTCAATTAACATTACAGGCCTTCAAATGTGGTCCTTTATTATACCTGTAATCGTATTGACCACTTCCAATGTGGTTAGAATGGAAAACAATACAGCATTTCCGCCATTATTTCCAGCTCTATTGAATGTTTTTTTTAGAGCAGTTGGCGAGACATATCAAACAACTAGAGATGAGCCAGGGGCACATAATATTGAATATGATTTCATTATAGTAGGTGCAGGATCTGCAGGATCAGTGGTAGCCAGCCGACTCACTGAAGTATTAATTTGATAACATTAATATTTAAACTAGAATATAGACTTCACTAAAATTAATAATTAATGTTATTATTAACATCTTTATTATACATTAGGTATTAAAATGGAAAGTATTATTAATTGAGGCTGGCCAAGAAGAGCACTTCATCATGGATATTCCATTGGCAGCCAATATGCTTCAGTTTACTGAAGCTAATTGGAAATATAAGACTATGCCTTCAAATGAATATTGCTTGGGTAAACATTATTTTATTTTAGCTAATTATATACAAAAGAAAACAAATTTGATTACATAATTTTAAAATTACTTAAGTCATTATTTATTATTTCATATATTAAACAAAATAATTTTAACTTATTAAGTTAAAACGTTATATTTAGTTAAATCAAAAGCATAGATAAAATGTTATGTATTACGTATAAAACAAAAGTAAAAAACAAAAAGTTTGTTAACACTTCAAAAAAATAAAATAAATCATAATTAATACATGCAAAATATCAAAATAACACTACAAAAGATAACAAAGAACGGCATAAATAGTGCTAGAATAAATTAAAACTTTGAATAATTGTCAAATATTATTCAAATAGTTTTCATTAATTTGTTTTTTGTTCGACATTTTATATAATTCTTTATTCGTGCATCATAAGTCTTAAAGGTTCAAAAAATCATCAAGAAAAATTAAGTAACACACTGTAATATTTTAAAATTAAAAAAATATTTCTCAAAAATCAAAAAAATTTAAATCTCAAAGATTAAAATTAGATGAACGATTAAGGTATTAAATTAAAAATATCTTTGAAATTAAATTATAAAACTAAACAAAAGTTTTATCTCAACTTATATTAGAAAATTAAATATAAGGAATATGAATAATAACAAAAATGCTTTATAAAAATCTTTAATATACTCTAGCACTATTAAAAATCTAAAATTTAAGTATTTTTACTCATAAGCAATTTATCTAATTAAATTTCAAATATTAAAGAAATAATAAGTTATACTTTTTTTATATATAAAATATATAGTAAAAATTGCAAAACAATAAAAAATATAAAAATAGAATGAAATATATCTATTATTTAGCTCCAGGTATTTTAGATAGAACTTTGGTAATATCTACACCCGATAAGGCTTGAACAGCTGGTGGTAATTGTGCAACTAAACGATTCACTTCTGTATTGATATTTCCATTACCACTCAATAATACAATTTCTTCAGTTTTTGATAAAGGAGACACAATCTCTGCTGCTATTTTTGGTAAAGCATCCATAACTAAAGCCATAACAGCAGCTTCTCCATATGTCTTAAAAACATTTGCCTTCAGCATCATTCCTTCCGCTTCAGCTTTACCAACAGCACCAATGGCTGAAGCTTCAGCTGATCCAATTTTCTTAATACGTTCAGCATAAGCTGTAGCTTCTTCAACTGCTTGAGTTCTACAAAATTTGAAATATTTAGTATACCTGATTTTCTAATTTTCTAATTTTTCTTAAAAATTCTTTAATAATAACTTACCTGTTACCTTCAGCAATAGCTTGAACACGATAACTTTCGGCTTCTGCTGGTAATCTAACAGTAGCATTTAGCTCACGTTCTCTTCTTTCTACTTCTTGAGCTTCAATTTCAATTTGTTTTTTTCTCTCAACTACATCAATTTGTATTACTTCATTTCTAATTTTTTGTTGTATTTTAGCAGCTTGTAATTCATAAGCAAGTTGGGCTTCAGCTTTGATTGTATTCACTTCCATGTCATAATTTGCTTTTTGTAATTTGAACAATCTAGAATTGTCTTCAATTTTTGTGTCAGTACCATATTTTATATCCATGGCTAATTTTTCACATTCTGCTTCCCTAATTCCTGCATCTCGATTTGCTTGAGCAACACCAATATCAGCATCTCGTTTCACAGCTGCCGTTTGTGATCTTCCTAATGATGTTAAATATTGTACATTGTCAAAAATATCTTTTATAGTAAAAGATAATATTTCAATGCCCATTCGTCCAACATCAGGAGCAGCAACTTCCCTAACAAGGGATGCAAATTGATCTCTATCTTTATAAACTTCTTCAACTGTAAGTGTACCCAATATAGCTCTAAGATGACCTTCCAATGTCTGAAGAATAGTTTGTTTGATTTGAGCACTAGTTCTGCCAAGAAATTGCTCAGATGCAGTTTGTAGGAGCTCATCAGCTTTCATTATTTTGCACTGGGCAACACCTGTAACTGTAAGTGGAACTCCATGTACAGTTTCAACAGTATCACACACAGGATTCAGTGTCATTACCTAAAAATTAAAAATTAATTAAATATTTTCCAAAAAAATTATAATAATTAAATTTTATACTAATAATTACTTCAAGTGATAATTTCTGAACATCTGTTATAAACCACCATGCCCAAGTCCATCCTCCAACTATTGTAGTTCGTTTAGTCGAACCACAACAACCCCCTAAAATTCATAATATATAATAATTACAATTTTTAGGACATGTCAATAAGCAGTGTAATTTTCCAAGAGGAAAAGTTATGGGGGGATCAAGTGTGTTAAATTATATGATTTATACAAGAGGACACAAAAAAGATTATGATACTTGGTTTGATGCTGGTAATATTGGTAAGAAAGAATAAAATATTTTAAGAAAATTAATTTTAAACTGTAACACATTTTTAAAAAAATCAAAGATAAATAAAATAAATATTTTATTTAAAGGCTGGAGTTCAGATGAAGTTTTTAAATATTTTCTTAAATCAGAAAATGCTAATATGACTTTGCGAGACACAAAATTTCATAAAGAAGGAGGTTTACTAACAGTTTCCGACATACCTTACAAGAGCAATGCAGCAACTGCTTTTGTTCAAGCAGGAAAAGAATTAGGATACCCTATCAGAGACATAAACGGAGAAAATCAAATAGGCTTCAACTACCTCCAAGTTACAATGAGCAATGGACTGAGATATAGTACAAATAAAGCTTTTCTTTATCCCGCAAGTAGACGTTCAAATCTTCATGTAACCAAAAAAAGCCAAGCAACTCGAATACTTTTTGATAAAACTGGACACAAAGCAATAGGAGTTGAATACTATCGAGGAGATATAAAATACAAAGCTTTTGCTAGAAAAGAAGTTATAATATCAGGAGGTGCTATCAATTCTCCACATCTTCTTATGTTATCAGGAATTGGCCCAAAAAATCATTTAACATCAAAAGGTATAAAAGTTATACAAGATTCACCAGTTGGACAAAATTTAATGGATCACGTAGCTTTAGGAGGATTAACTTTTATTATGAACGACACTAATTCAATAAAAACTGAAAGGCTTTTAAGTGATCCAATGGCACTTTATAATTTTATGAGAAACCGTGTTGGTCCAATCACTATACCAGGAGGGACTGAAGCAATAGCTTTTATTGACCTAAGTCAACCAGAAAACCCTAAAGGATACCCTGACCTTGAGTTATTATTCATAAATGGAGCTGTAAGTTCAGATGTTACGCTAAAACAATCATTTGGCATTACAGATAAAATATATAATAAAGTTTATAAAAACACAGAAAATGAAAACACATACATGGTATTTCCAATGATAGTACGACCTAAAAGTAAAGGATTCATAGAATTAAAAGACCGCAATCCTTTTAGATATCCTGCTATCATTCCAAATTACTTCTCTGATGAGAATGATCTAGATATTATAGTAAAAGGCGTAAGACTTTGTCAAAAACTATCAAATACCAAATCATTACAAAGTATAAATGCAAAATTATGGGATACACCAATGCCAGGTTGTGAAGCTCACAAATTTGATTCAGATGAATATTGGAAGTGTGCGGCAAGACAATTAACATTTACAGTATACCATTTGGCTGGGACATGCAAAATGGGACCACTGGGAGACCCTACAGCAGTCGTTGATCCAAGGTTACGAGTACAGGGAATTGAAGGACTACGAGTTATAGATGCTTCTATTATGCCAGAAATACCAACTGCACATACTAACGCGCCAACAATAATGATTGCTGAAAAAGGTTCTGATATGATAAAAGAAGATTGGGGAATTCCTATTAGAGTTTAAGTTCTACAAAATGTTAATAAGTATTATCTGTGATAAAATGTACTATAATTAATGAGTATTAATTTTTTTATTTGTAAACTATCATGCCCTACTTATGTTTTTTAAATATCACTTATCAAAAATAATTTTAATGAAACACAAAAAAAAGTTCATAACTGCATAAAATACTATAGTTAAATATTTTTCAACTATTACCTAATAAGATACTAATGGTAAAATTATTAAACTAATTTATTGGGTGTGAATCTAAGTGAATTTTTTTATACTTCCAAAAAATGTAATTCAATTTAATTTAAAAAAATGTATTAGTTAATAACTTTTCAATAATTTTAAAATTAACTTTTTATCAAATAAAAGTATTTCTCAATATAGTTCAATTTTACTGAATTTAGTACTTACAATGTTAGTGAAGACGTTTTTATTTTAGAACTGTTGGCATAGTATAACTTATATATAACAGGGGATATAGTTTAAAAATAATTTTGTTCATCTAATTAATCATAACATATTTTCAAATATTTAAGAAGAAAGAGGACAATTCAAATTTTTTTTTTAAATATGCAATACAGAATGATTTTTTTAACGCTTGCCACTGAATTTCTCTTAAAATAATAAGTTTTTCAAAAAAATTATTCTTGAATTTTATTAGTTACATAAGTATTTTTATTTATATGTCATAAAATCATTTTTAGGTCTATCCCTTATATTTTATAGAGACGTCAACTTGATCAATAATAACTTTTGGACAAATATTTTGGAAATTATCAACATTTTATAGTGATGGCGGAAGTATAAATGCAGCCAAGATATGACTAATGTGGTTAATAATATTAATGTTAATAACTTCCGAAATACTGATGCAAAAGTTGTCAATTACTTAATTATGTAGTACTATTGTTTCATATTAGTGGTAGAATTGAAATGCCTATTGCTGAGTTTTTCTCGCCACTAGAATCAGTGTTCTCTTGTAAACTGTTAGTGAACTTTGTTAATTGACTTGACAAAACAATTGATTACATCGTTTTTCTTAATTATGATTATGGTTCAAATTGCATTTATAAATTTATTGTTTTAAAATATGTTAACTAACTAACGTTATAAATATAAAATTACAATAATATATTTCACCCATATTATTCTACCCTTCTTTTTATGCTCTACAATTAGATCATTGTCTATTAAATAAGCTAATTATGTATGTATGATGCCATTTGAAAGTTGATAAGGTATAAGGATGAATATAAAAAATATTTCATAATTGATAAATTACAAAATATTAGTATGTAACTAAAAAAAAAAATGTTCAGTATTATTTAATTTTTTTTACTATTTAATCAGTTTACAATAAAATGGATTAGTCTGTGTAGATAAGGAGATATAATTATCGTTAACCACTAGATTTCTTCTAAAATAATAAGAATTTTATTTATTCACTTATTTAGGTAATATTTATTTATTAATTTTTAAGTGGTTAAAATTTATTATCCCTTGTCATAATAAGGGTACTAACTTAATTTTGTTAGATTGTAACATACATGAGTAACTATTCTAACATTCTATTTATAAAATTAAAATGATCCAAAAAAGAAAATGACTAGTTTTGTAACAATTGACTATTGAATAGTATGTTCTATATATTTTAAGTTATATACAGTGTAGAACAGATCTAACAGACAACTCTTGTAAATTTTGATTCAATAATCATTGCATTGTATTTTCAACATTTTAAAATAGCTTTTTGTCTTTGAGCTTTTCTAATAAAAAAAAAATAGACAAGTTGATATCTACTTATTGAGTTACAAGCATTATAATATATAGAGTGTATACATAGGGCAAATGGGTACATATTGTGTTGATTTATATTTTTTAATGCATACTCCGCCCATCTTACAACAAAATTTAAATCATATCAACAGTTATGAGAGCTGTCAGTTAAGTCTATTCAACCCTGTATATAATTTAAAATATAACAATCGAACTATTCAATAGTCAATTGTTATATGTAACCTGGTCATCAAATAAATTTGAAGTAACAATCAGTTGGTTATTCTCTGGTACCTTAATGTTTTGTTTACTTTATGTTGTGTAAATTAAAAGTTAAGTTCACTATCTATATTTGACAATTATTTAACCAATTAGAAAATTATTAAATTACATTGTATCTTGAAGTTTCGAAAAAAAAAAAATGCATGCTTATAGAAATAAACAATGCGATAAAAAAGTAAGAGTAACTTAATTACACTAATGTTTCATTGGTTATCAAAGTATCAATAATAACTATTAAATTTTTTTAATTAATAACTATTATTTAATAATATATTGTTCAAGTTTAATAGATATTATATTATTAATAATAATTATAAATATTATTTCATTTGACTAAAATAAAAATATAGATTTTTTTATTTAAAACATATTACATTTGATTTATACACTCTTTCAGCGAAAATATTTATGAAACAAGTTCAATGTCAAATGACCTACATTTTGAAGTTCAATGGCATATCAGCAATTATTTTCATATATAAACATAACATATAAAACTGTATAACTGTACTTTGTCTAATATAGTAAACTTTATACATGCAAATAAAGAAGTACATATTAAGAGGGGAGAATGACCTAAATATAAAGTATTCTGTCAAAATATTACTTCTAATAGCAATCAGTTTTTCATGGTCAAGAACATTAACTACGCAGTTTGTTCATCATGAAAATGAATATAATAGTTACCTTATTAATTTCACTAATATTACAAGTTGAATCAATTTTTACTACAGTACTTGATTCTTTTTATGGACAACATCTTCAACAAGGAATACCATTCAGAGAAAATACATATTTAGGAAATAAACCTATATTGAAGGAATATGATTTTATTGTAGTTGGTGCAGGTCCAGGAGGCTGTGTTATTGCAAATCGTTTATCAGAAAATAATAATTTTTCAGTATTATTATTAGAAGCTGGACAAGATGAATCAGTATACACAGATATGCCTGCAGCTGCAAAATACTTCCAATCTACTGATTATAACTGGGGTTATACTTCTGAACCAACAAAGAATGGTTGTTTAGGAAGAAGTAATAAAAGATGTCCCTGGCCCAAAGGAAAAGGTCTAGGAGGCTCTTCAATTATAAACAATATGATCTACACTAGAGGAAGCAAAGATGACTATGACCATTTTGCAGCACTGGGCAATAGTGGATGGTCTTTCGAAGAAATAATGCCTTATTTTTTAAAATTGGAAAATTATACTATATCAGAATATCAAGACTCAAATTTACATTCAACTAAAGGAAATTTACACATAGAAAGAATTCAATATGAAACACCATTGATAGAAAAATTTATTGAAGCAGGAGGTGAATTAGGTTTAAGAAAAAATATAGACTATACAGTTGAACTAGTAAATGGAGTTTCTCGTGTACAAGCAACTACAAAGGAAGGACACAGAGTAAATAACCTTATTTCAAGCATACATGATTTATTTCACAATAGGATACTAAAAATGCACTTCATTAGCTTAACATAATCTTTGTGTTAATAACTTTCTTTAAGAAATCAAGTTAATTTATACTACTTTATTCTCTCAATTTATAAATTATTAATTATAGAAATAAAAAGAAACATCAAAACTAACACGTCTTAAACATAAATAAAAAACAAAAAATGAATTAATAATTATTAAAAAATAGTAAATCATACAAAAATAAAATATAAAAATAAAAGAACACTATATTAACCCAAAACTACAAACATCTACAACTTAAAAATACTAACTTTTAATATTTTTTTATGTTGTACAAAGTATTTATACAAAATAATTTTTATATAGATGAGTTCAGCTAAAGCATATATTAAACCAGTGAAAGATCGTCGAAATTTACATGTTGCAATTTTCAGTAGAGTAACAAAATTATTAATAGATTCTGGAATGCAAAAAGCTATAGGTGTGGAATTTGTGAAAAAAGGGAAAACAAGAATTGCATCTGCTAAAAAAGAAGTTATATTGTCTGCTGGCCCAATAAATTCGCCCCAACTACTCATGCTATCAGGAATTGGACCAAAAGAACAATTAAAAAAACATAAAATACCATTAATTAAAGATTTACCAGTAGGTCAAAAATTAGAAGATCATTATGGAACAACTGGTAAATTAAACATTTTTTTGAACAATAATATTTCTACTAAAATGTTTGTTTTATTCATATTTAGGTTTAAGATTCAAAATTAATCAAACAAATATTTCCATTGATGAACAATCTTTATCAGATTTACTGGTCTTTGATGATTGGTATACTTATGGTAAAGGGCCTCTAACTATACCAGGAGGAATAGAAGGTTTGGGTTATATAAAAACCCCTTCAGGAAAATATGTAGAACTTATACTTTCATCTCTATCAGAAACTTCTGACACATTTACAATAATGCCAGTACTATTACAACCAGATGCAAGAGGACAAGTGACCTTAGAAAATAAAAATCCTTGGCACAAGCCAATATTAAACTATGATTTTTATGAAAATAAGACTGATTTAAATGATTCTGTATATGCCTTAAAATTTTCTGTCAAATTAGTAGAAGAGACCAATGCTTTCAAAATCTTAGGAGCTAAAATGGTACAAATTCCTATACCCGAGTGTGACACATTTCGCTTTAAATCAGATAGCTACTGGGAATGTTTAGCAAAGTATACAACATCCAGTTTTCATAATCAATGTGGAACATGTAAAATGGGAGATGTTGTCAATAATAATTTGCAAGTAATTGGAATAAATGGACTCAGAGTGGTTGACTCATCAATAATACCAGTTATCCCTAAAGCTCATCTATATGCACCAACTCTTATGATAGCTGAAAAAGCAGCAGATTTAATAAAAAATAATTGGTCTATATAGAAGAGATAAAAAATAGTTGATAACTACTATTTAATAAAAGATATATTTTTACTTAATATGTATAATTCTGTAACTACTTACCTGAGACTATAAGTGCTTGATTAGGTCCTACAGTATGAATTTGACCCATGTCTAAGTTTTCAATTTTATTTACTTTAGAAAGAACCTTAAGACAAAAAAAATAGTCATTAATTTTAATATAAATATATATTGAATAATATTGTCTTAATAAATAAATACACTAATTCATAAATACACTAATTCATAAATCCACTACATACTTTTCTTTTTTAAAATTACAAGCAAATAGTTATCTAAAGCAGAATAATTAATTAAAAGAATCTACAAGATTCTCACATCGCAAAATCTATATGGTTTATCAATTTATTGAATCTGAATCATATACAGTGATAAGAATTCCGGCCATCAGAAAAAAACATAATACAACAAAAAAGAAAATATAGATAAATATTTAATATAATCTCTGTCATGAATATATGTTAATTTAAAAGCAATAAATATTATGTAATATAAATACTTAATTAACATAATTACCTAAAAATTATTTTTCAAATATTTCTTAAAGGGCGGTACCTTTCAAGCCGATTGTCAGACGCTATAAATTAAAAATAAACAGTTTTACTAGATTTAATTAAAAATATTTTGAAAAAAATTAAATATTACCTAAATAACAGAAAATAATTGAAATTACTATGTCATTTAAAAAAGAAATCAAATAATATTTAAATTCAATCAAATATAGTATATTTAATAAAAAATGTTTTTCTTCGAAAAAGACCAATTTTGTTTTATTTAAATGGCTACTCTGCTATAATTGCAGTTGGTATCATCGAATTTTGTTATCAAAACCGCATCATTTTTATATCTAAACTCTCTAAAATCTTTCAACTTTTAAGTAATATCCATTTAGTGTTGTACCACGTTGTTATTCTAATTGTGCTGATATTTATTTTCTAGTTTAATTTTAAGCTATCCATAGCATTTAAATTCTTAAATTGTTTATAGTCAATTGCTTTTATTTTTTTTCTTTAAATTTAAAATGAGCAGATTTTTTGCCACTGGCTCGGATTCCGAGTCTGATAGCTCTTCCGAAGAAGAACAGGTTATCCGACAACCTACTACCAATTTCACAGTACGCTTTTATAATTAATATTTATATTTAAAGCGATTATGTTACAAAAAAAATTAGAAACTCGTTATAAAAAGTCTCCTTATTAATATTAAAAATCATGATAAATTTGAACAAAGACATTATAACATAGTATTGCAGTTTATTATTGAACAGAACAATAACTATGAGTAATATCTTTTAATGAGTATGTGTTATAATAATATTTTTAAAAATTTAGTTGAAGTGAAATCTTTATTAATATTTTAGTTTCAAAAATGTATCCCAGATCATTAATGTATCTGTTTTCTAACCAATAATTAGGGATAGTTTCTAATTTAATATAAGTCAATACTTATATAATTTTTTTTTTTTTTACACTTATTAAAATATTAATAAGTTTCATAACACTTTATAGTTTAGTGATGATGAAGAAGATACAAAACGAATAGTACGTTCATTGAAAGAAAAACGTTATGAAGAGTTGACTATGACTATAAAACAAATAAGAAATCATAAGAAAATTAAAGATATGAGTAGTTTATTAACAAGTGAGTGCATGAAATTATTTATTAATAACCCAGCACAGAGAAGTCGCGGCACAGTGGTGACGTGGCTTAGTTGGGTCAAGTATAATGATATCTGACAGTAATTAAAACCACAATCATAAAAAAACGCTTCGATGCAAATCTTTAGATAGTGTTTAATTTTTAAAAATTGGTGGATTATTTCTAAAGCTACATGATCTGCTATTTCCTTATTTATATCCTGATTAACATAAAGTATGTCGAATGAAAAAGAGATATAAATATTATTTCTCATAAAAAAATTGTGTTGATCTGTACACTTTAATAAGTTATAGCATTATAAAGTTAAAAATGTAAAAAATAAAATCGAAAATTTTCATACAAAAATAGCATTTGGTATCCATATTCACCGTGAAGACAACATTTACGGGAAACAAGGGAAATTATTTCAATTTTTGAGGGTAATGTCTTCAACTAGATACAATTTGTGATCTTTTAACGTTTCTTTGAAAGAAATCGGTTTGGTGAGAGCTGAGAAAAAGTGGTAACAGACACAAAAAAAACATATACATCATAGTAAAACCAATACCTTCTCAGCTTCGCCTCAAAGCTAAAATAAATGTCAATTCATAATTTTTAATATTGTTTTGTTTAAATTATTTAATAGGTTTTGAAGATTTAACTCGTGCCTACACTAAAGCATTCAATGCAGTCATTATGAAAGAAGAAAATGGAGTTGCCCCTCGATTTTTTGTTCGTTGTTTAGTAGAGATGGAAGATTTCATTAATGATGTTTGGGATGACCGTGTTGGACGGAAAAATTTATCAAAAAATAATTCTAAGAGCTTAGCTTCATTGAGACAAAAATTCCGAAAATATATGAAAGATTTTGAAAGTGATATTGCTAAATTCAGAGAGAACCCTGATCTTCCTGATCAAGAAGAAGATCAAAAAGAAGAAGATGAAGTGGATTCTGATGAAAGTGAAAGTGAAGATGAAACTCCAGCTGCATCTTTCAAAAAAACTGATGAAAAAATTCCTAAAGTACTAATTTATTTATAAATTTATTGTTGTAAATCAAACAAAATAATTTTTAAACTATAACTCTTTATTAATGTAATATAGACTCCAAAAACCACAGGTGAAGATTCTGATAGTGATGATTCCTTTGACTGGGGTAGTGATTCAGAAAGTTCTTCTTCAAGTAGTGATGATGAAGGTCAATATCAAAGTATTAGAGAACGTTTTTTGAAGAAGTCAGTTGTATTATTCTTTAATGTTTTTTTATTATAATTATATTTATATATATATATTTTTTTTTTTTAAGATCCACTGATAAAGATGATGATGAAAAGAAAGAAAAGAAAAAAGAAAGAAAAGAGAAACCAAAGAAACAAAAAAGAGAAGAAGGTGATGAAAGTGACAGTGAATGGCAAAAAGTTCGAAGAGGTGTTGCCATTCCTTCTGTGAGTTATAAAAAACAAACAATTTTAGATACATCTTTATTATTTTTTCGTTAATTTTTAGTAAGAAAATTTATTAATTTTTGTGGTTAGATTTCTAAAGCTTTCTAGAACTCTAGGTTTTTTTTTTTAATTTATGGTATCAAATTTCTGTGCTCATCAAAAAAGGATAAGCATAACAAAATCTTTACTCACCAAGTGTTGGTTATATATTTATAGGATTTGTTCTATGAAAATTATCGTTGTTTGATTGAGTGCTTATAACTGTGATGAAAAATATAGTAATATTATAGCATCGTTTTCATTGCTTTTATGTTTTTTTATTTATTACCTATATCTGTGGCTGTATAAATAAATTATTCCACTTTTTTAAGTTGACTTAAAAAACGACTTTTTACTACTGAGAAATTATTATTTATATTTGTGCAGTGCAGACTGTTATTTTAACAACACGTGTTTTAAACAATTTTTTTTATTATTAAATAAGATTGAGTTTTTATTCAAATTTTTTTTATATACAATTAATCATTGAGTTCAAATTTAATTAATAAATTCTAGGCACTTAATTATTCACCTTCATATGTCCAAAATAGTTTTTTTAGCATATTATAATTAACAATTTTAATTGTTAATAATACTCAAATTTTATGTTTATTTACAGGCGCTCATTCAAGCATAAATAATATTCTTGAAAAAAGTTATATACTACTAATATTTAGCGTGAAAATATATTGTTTTCTTCTGTCCTTTTCTCAATTATTGCTTAATTTCATAAAATTAAACACAAAGATTCTATTTTAACATGATGTGATCGTATCTTTCATTGGCCACACCTAAGTGGCTTAGAGTACTCCATTCTTTCCTAGACAAATGAAAACCTGGTAATCTCTATTCTGGCAGAGATACAATATCTAATTTAAAGATTTGCTAGTAATCCATGCTTCCTTCCAGTAATTCACTATACTACAACTAGGATCATTCATAATTTTCCAGCTGGGATTACATGATTTCAACTTTTCTTTTCACATGTAGACAGCCATCTGTTGATGCTGCTGATAAAATACATAAATCTGAGTAATATTCCTTATTCCACCTAGACAAATGAAAAGTGCTTCTATCCTTTGCATCAAATATGCAAGGTGATATGAGTGATACAAGTGATACCCATTATTTGTGATCGAGTTCATGAGATATTAGCCATTTGTAACACTTATGGAATAGACCTATCCATGGTTTTGGCTATTGAAATCGTCAAAATAACGGTATGGATGACTTTTAAAATCCAAATTTTCTTATTTATAAACAGAAAACATATATGAAATTAGCAAGAGTTTAACTCTTGCTACTTTCAAAACAAGTGTAGATACTCTGATACAGGTCTTGGAATATACTTTTTTTGCTTTCTTTGTATCTTTCCTTACATATATTGTTGTCCCATATATTTAACTATGAACTACTCCAAGAAAGTTAAAGCCATAAACAACTGACCTCCTTTTTAGGTCACCATCATTTTTTTCGTGGTTCTCTTACAACACTAAAATCACCTACTGATTTTTGTCATCTAGTTTGGATAAGTATTCATGTATTGCTCTAGAAATTCCCTCAATATTAAATTTTCATACTACTTACATATTCAGATAAATATTTAATTAAGAAATTGACTGATCAATAACAACTTTTAGACCAATATTTTACCTTATATGTATAAATTATGCAATCATTTTGAACTTAATGTTTTTTTTTTTTCTTATTTTATATTACTTTTAGTATGTTATCAATAAAATGTTTTTAATTTTTAGGAGAAACCTAAAATGTTTGCTAAAGATGCTGAAATCACTCCAGAAGCAGTTTTACGTAAATTATCTGAAGTAGTTGCTGCTAGGGGGAAAAAACGTACAGATCGTAGAGAACAAATTGAGTTACTTCATGAATTGCTACTTATATCAGAAGCTCATAATTTAGGTTTAGGCTTAAGAGTGAAAATTAAGATATCAATTATTTCTTCAATTTTTGATTATAATCCAAAAGTCTCTGATGCTATGAAACCAGAAATTTGGAGCAAGTATGTTAATTCAATTTTATAGTTATAGATTAAATAAATAATTTTTTACCTATTAATGAAATCGTTTTCCCAGTTTTAACTACAATACTTAACTAATTATTTCTATGACACATTTCTTGTTTGATTTTTTTCTGACAATGTAACACAGGTAGGTACAGTTTGTATTGATTTATAATTATAAGTCATACTATACCTGCCTTGCATACCCACTCTATTAATTAAAATACTTATAACTCAATAATTACTTATCCTACAGTTATATTTTATTATTAATTAAATATTTTATGAAATTTTGAAGAAAAAAAATTTTTTTATTATTTTAACATAGTCTAAGAATGCATAAATAATTTTTAAAAAATATTACTACAAAATGTTGATTATATTATAAGTTATAATAGTGAGATCTATTAACAGATCTGCAATATCTTTGTATAATCAACATTTGTTGATTATCAGTTAAAAATAGATTATATTAATCTATTATGAGCAGAGACATTTGTTTGTCCCTGCTCTATTCAAAGGCTATATTCTATGTTCTAGTTAATCCCTTAGGCTTTTACATAAGACATTCTGAGTACCAATTTGTTCTATTAAGGTCCCTCCCTGTATATAATAGACTATCCAAAAAAGAAATCTTAATTGTATAGTTAAACTACTAAGTTTTTTTAAAAATAGGTATTTTTTTATCTTAATTTAAATAGCAATGTAAAATTTAGTCTTTATATTAGTATTGTTAAACTAAATAAAAAAATTTTAAGGTAAAAAATGTCTTTAATATTTTAATGTCAATTGCAAAATTATTATCTTACATAATTTGATAACTGGATTTTTAAATTTATTATTCTTGGTGATGATTTCAGATTATTGGATTGTATAATTGAGTTGCTAGATTTAGTACTTCCGGCTAAAGAAACAATATTTATTGGTGAATCAGTTGCTGAAGATGCAGAAGTATTAGATAAACCAGTTTTCCGGGTTCGTGGATGTGTATTAACTATAGTTGAAAGACTTGATGAAGAATTTACTAAACTTTTAAAAGAGTGTGATCCTCATAGTAATGATTACGTGCAAAGGTAAATTAATATTTAATTTCAAAATGAATTAAACTTTTTTTCTTTTTAATTTTTCATTCTTGTATTTCATTAGATTAAAAGATGAAAAACGTGTTTGTGAAATTATTGATAAAGTTCAACTTTTTCTGGAGCATCAAAACATTGAATCAGAAATTTGTCGTATATATATGCGAAAAATTGATCATCTTTATTATAAGTTTGATCCATTAGTTTTGAAACAAAAAAAGGTATTAATATTATTATATTTTTATTTATGTTTGGGTAAATTAATTACAACTTAAGAGATCAAATTTGTTTGCCGATTAATACATTTTAAAACATCTTTTTCTGTAATTATCATCAATTAAAATAATTTTTGTTTTTATTAATTTACATAGTTAAGTTTAATATTTATCACAAATAATATTTTAAAATTAAAAATTAATGAAAAAAGTTACATGGTTATTAAATAATGCTTAAATACCTATTTGTAAATAACAGGAAATATATTATCTTTATTAAGTTAATAATTTCTCAAATTTTCCAAATTTCTTAGTTATAAATTTGTTGAAAACAGTAAAATAAGTTAGTAACACATTTTTTTTATATTTTAAGATATAAATTTAAAAACTTATTTGTTCAAATGTAAAAAATAAGTTATTTAGCTTTAATAATGATTAGAAAATTTAATTAAACAACTGGTAATGTAATAAAATATTCTAAGTAATAATCTCAATTTTTTGGAGTATCAATTATTACTTTATTAGAACATAAAAATTAAAAGGTGTAACAAAATAAAAATAATCTAACAGTACCACTTATTTTAATATATATTTTAACACAACAAAAATTATAATATTTAATCTATATTATTTATATAGCCATATTATACAGTCATTATAACTAGTTGTTTTTAGATTAAACAAGATAGATTAGGATTATTTTACACATTAAATTCAACTTGTTAAGTTAAAAATTTATAATTTATTAAAACTAACTAATTAGTACCCAGTTTTGCCTTTAATGCATCAATAATTCTAAAATGCATTTAGTTTATTTTAATTCAAAAGTTTGCAAAAATAAAAAATATAATTGAAAATTGTAGAAGACTGGGTGGCTAGAAATTATTAAATTTTAGATTATGTAGGAAAGAGATTAATGAGGTAATTATTTGTACCTTTGTTATACCAATAAACCTATATTATTTTTTTAATTAACAATTGGATTTTAAAATTAAAATTAATTTCTTTTTGAATTTCAGGGAGAAATATTAGCAACACATAAAACTAATGTACAGATAATGGAAAATTTGTGTAAATATATTTATGATAAAGATAGCACTGATCGATTAAGAACTAGAGCTATTTTATGCCATGTCTATCATCATGCTCTTCATGATAATTGGTTTCAAGCACGAGATTTAGTACTTATGTCTCATTTACAAGAAACTATTCAACATTCTGATCCAGCTACTCAAGTATACTCAGAATAATACAATAATTACTTGTTTATTTAAATATAATGATTTAATTATTGTAGATTCTTTACAACCGTACTATGGCACACATTGGATTATGTGCTTTCCGTCAAGGTAATATTAAAGATGCACACAATTGTTTAGTTGACTTAATGACAACTGGTAAAGTAAAAGAATTATTAGCACAAGGATTATTACCACAAGTAACTCGTACAAATATTTATCACTAAATAATTAAGTTAATTCATTACTTTTTAACATTTATCATTAAAAACTTTTTAAGCCATCCTAGATTATGTCAGAGCTCGGATTAAACAAATTTGTTTATTGTAGATTATATTAGATTAAAACTTTTATTATAAAAGTAATTTACAATGATTCTACATTTTATGTTTAAAAAGTTTAAAAGACTATTATATGTAGCACAATCATTCACAGAGATTTAGGTTGAGAACACTAAAAATTGATATCAACCCATATCTTATGAAAGACTATTCACTAAATGGCAATAAAGTTAGCTATATTAATAAAATTTATACAGATAAAATTCAAAAATGTTCGCCTATACATACTTTACTATAATTAAGTGAATTCTTCATACTGATACAATTATAGCTTCAACCATAATTATTAATGAAATTAAAAATTAAAATTAAAAAATTTTCAAAATACAAAAAAAAATATATTAAATCATATTTAGAAATTATATCCAAAATCTAAATATAATACAATAAACCAAAATAATTTGGCTATAAGAATTTATTACTGGGCATACAATAACTAACATGACAACAAAATATACTCTTTGTTTATGAACAATCATTAGTATAAAATTAGAATAATATCAAATTTTTCTTTACTAAAAATTTTTTAAATTATTCTTATAAATAGTGTTAAAAATATATTTATCATAAACATATCTATGTATTAAATTTGTTTGTTTTTTTATGATGACAAATATTAAATTAATGATAGATAAAAAAAATAATATTTTTTTCTTTTTAACATTATAATGAAAATGTTGTATAAAAAATTTTTGGAGTTATGCATTATGTAATCATATTATTAATTCCTAAATTATTTTTTAGTATATTGTATTTCCAAAATTTAAAATATTTTTAAACTAACTGATAATTTGAATTAAAAATTCTATGTATTATTATTTTCTCAGAGACAACATGAGCGAAGCAAAGAGCAAGAAAAGGTTGAAAAACAGAGACAAATGCCATTCCACATGCATATAAACTTAGAATTATTGGAGTGTGTTTATTTGGTATCAGCTATGCTCATTGAAATACCTTACATGGCTGGTAATAAAAAAATAAAAAACTATTAAAACTATTTATTTTAAAATATGTGTTCATTCTAGCTCACGAGTTTGATGCTAGAAGACGAATGATTTCCAAAACATTTTACCAACAACTTCGATCAAGTGAAAGACAATCATTAGTTGGTCCTCCAGAGTCAATGAGAGAACATGTAGTCGCTGCTAGTAAAGCTATGAGAAATGGAAATTGGTTGGCTTCTCGTAATTTTATAATAAATGAGAAAATGAATGCTAAGGTATTTTTTACTAATATCAAAGCTCAATTTTCTTAATTTTAATTGAATTTTTTTTATAGGTATGGGAATTATTTTATGAAAGTGATAGAGTGAGAGATATGCTAGAACGTTTAATTAAAGAAGAATCTTTGCGTACTTATCTATTTACTTATTCTCATGTTTATAACTCAATTTCTATGAAAACTCTATCTGAAATGTTTGAACTTCCAAAAACTTCTACTCATTCAATTATTTCTAAAATGATTATTAATGAAGAATTAATGGCCTCACTTGATGATCCTACACAAACTGTTGTAATGCACAGAAGTGAACCAAGTCGGTTGCAGTCACTAGCCCTTCAACTGGCTGATAAAGTTAATAATTTTGTCGATTCTAATGAAAGGATTTTTGAAATGAAACAAGGTGATCTAAAATAAGTTTATAATTTATTTTATTTATTTATCCATGGGTAGTTATTTTCCAATGATACAATATCCTTATTTTGTGTTTCATGTAGGTAACTTCTTTCCAAGAGGTGGTAATCAAAATCAAGGACAATATAGACAAAACTTTGGTCGACAAGGTGGAGGTGGGCAAGATTGGAATCGCCAAAGAAGAGAAAATCGAGCATATTAAATTTTTGTTTTTTTTTTTTTTTAATTTATATATTATTTATGTAAACTATTAAGTTAAATTTCAAAATATTTCTGTTGTTTTTTAGTAAACTACAGTTAATAATTTTTTACTGTCTAAAATAAACAATAATATATTAATTAGCCCTCTTATATGAAAAACAATTAAAATAAAAATATTTTTCATATAATATAAAATGATATTCAGGATTATACACAGTTGAAATTATCAAATATATATGTAATTTTTTTCTTGAGTAATGATATTTATATGAATGAAATAATTTTTTTCCATTTATACTAATAATATTTACTATAATAACTAATTATTAAAATATATATTTTTCATTACTATGAATGAAATATATTTATGAAATTTAAAGTCTTAGTTAGAACTCTGGATATAATATCTTGAGGTAAATCGTTCTTTTACAATAAACGTATTTATTTTTTAATTTCATGTTATAGCTATGTAGTGATACATGATTAAAATCATCAAATAGCTTACAATGCTGGACAGATGGTTTTTTTAAAAACCCAGCACAGGGGGGTCGCGGCACAGTGGTGACGTGGCATAGTTGGATTAAGTATAATGATATCTGACTGTGATAAAAATCACTATCAAAAAAAAACGCTTCGATGCAAATCTTTAGATTTTAAATTTAAAAAATTGGTGTATTATTCCAAAAGCTATATGATCTGCCAGTTCCTTATTAATATCTTGATTAAGATAAAGTATGTCGAATAAAAAAGGGATTATTAAAAAATATTATTTCTCATAAAAAAATTGTGTTAATCCATACACTTCAATAAGTTATAGCATTATAAAGTTAAAAATGTAAAAAATAAAATCGAGATTTTTCACACAGAAATAGCATTGGGTAGCCATTTTCACCATGAAGACAAGTCCAGAGGTCAAATTTTTTTTTTCATAATAAAGTACATTACATTAGCTTTAATTTAAGATATATATAAAAGTGTCAGATTTACAAAAAAATATACCAAATGATAGGTAAAAACATCAAGCATCTATAAAAAAAAAAATTATATTTATATATTCATTTTTGAAAAAGTTACGGCAGTTTTTAGTAAAAAAAATTTCGAAAATTAGCGATTTTTAAATTTGTAATTTTTTTGGAGGTTTTCCCCTTTTATGGGGAACGAGGGAATTTTTTTCAATTTTTAAGGGTAATGTCTTCGACTAGATACGATTTGTGATCTTTTGACGTATCGTTGAAAGAAATCCGTTCGGTGAGAGCTGAGAAAAAGTGGTAACAGACAAAAAAAAAACATAGTAAAACCAATACCTTCTCAACTTCACATCGAAGCTAAAAAATGTTCAAGATAAAGAATTTAATTTATCAATTTATTATAATATTATCTGTATATATGTTACATATTTCCATTCTGTGCTCTGGATTTATTCACAGACCGCCTATTGTTGAAATCTGACATATGTCATTATAATGCAAAATGTTGATTGTCAATGTATATTTAGTTTTTATATAATTATAAACATTACTGGGATATATATTCCTAGTAATACAGTATTAAGAAAAAAATCCTTCCAAAAACTGAGGAGCTAAATTTGTTATACTTGTTTTAAAAAAAAGTTTATGGAATTAATATAAATAAATTGTATTTTAATATAAGCATAGATATCTTAGAACTGGTATGGAGGGTATTTTGTTGTATTTATTTCAATCTTCTTGCTGGAGATTAAAATATTTACGCCTATTTTCCACAGATGCTAAATAACACCTATGGATATCAGGTTACTACCCGATTAATGACATATTCCTGGTTGGGTTGTCATCGTTAGGCACGTGAAGTTAAATACATAAACAAATGTTTTTAATTTTATCAAGGAATATTATATGTTATATATAAATTTCAAGACGGTTATAATATATAAGTTTGTACTTTCATTATCAGAACAGTACATTATTAATAATAATTTTTTTCTCATATATGATGTATGAGTCTGAGTTTATCGTTTAAATTGGGATTCATCTATGACAATTATGCTATCCAACGTTAAATCGCAGTTACCAATATTTTTATCAAAATTAAATTTTTTACATAGTCCCACGTATGAAACACGGATTGTCAAAAAAAACCACAGACCGCAGTAATACTGTATAATAGGGTTGGTCAACGATATTAATATTTCGATATTGCGGACTTATTTCATTTTTCCCACAATATCAATTATTTTTGAAATTTCGCAATAATCGAAAAAAAAAAAAATTTAACAAAAATGACAGTTTGAATATTGGTCACTTATAAAATATATATTATTTGATATTAGGCTAAAATCTTGTAAATATGTATTGTATTACAATACAGAGTGGCCCACCACTCACTGACAACTTAAATAACTTTTGATCCAGTTAATATTTTTAGCTGATTTTTTTTTTAAATAATAGTTATACGTTAGGTCCATAGCTATATCTCAATAAAATCTAATCTAGAAAAATAAAATCTAAAATAATATTTATTTTTAAATTTTAAATAAAATGTAAAAAAAAATCTAAGATAGCTATTTTGTAGAGTAGAATTTAAAAAAAAATTTTAGTAAAAAAATATCTTATTAATATTGACTAGTAAATATTCTGTAGCGTTTTGAAGTTTGTGAAAATTTGAATTTTCATGTATTATTTTACGGTATTAAACATTGAAATACGTATTGAGAAAAGGACAG